ACTACTATATATATATATATATATATATATATATATATATATATATATATATATATATATATATATATATGTATATACGAGGGTAGTCTGAAAAGTTTTGAGCCTAACATAGAAACAAGTATTTTTTCAGTCAAATATAGTTTTATTTTTCAACATCTTTTAAGTCGATATACACTTTTCCCATTGATACTCTAACCTCTTTAACCCCTCCAAATATTGGCGTCTTGCTCCACAAAATAGGCGTTTACGTATGCGATGACCTCCTTATTCAATGAAAATCTTTATCCTCCAAGCGAAACTTTAAGCTTAGGAAACAGGAAAAAGTCACTGGGGGTCAGATCTGGTGAATACGGTGGGTGGTCAACCAATTCGAAGTGCAGTTCGTAAATTTTGGCGACTGCCGAAGTATGAGTAGGTGCGTTGTCTTGATGGAACCGCACTTTCTTCTTCTTCAAATGCGGCCGTTTTTTTGCAATTTCTGCCTTCAAGTAATGATGCGTAATACGCTCTCTATTGTTTTACCTTTTTCAAAATAGTCAATACGCACAATTCCGTGACTATTCCAAAAAACAGTCGCCTTCCCAGCTGATGGAACCGTCTCCATCTTTTTCGGAGCAGGTTCATCCTTTGCAATCCATTGTTTTGACTGTTCTTTTGTCTCTGGAGTGTAGTGGTGGATCCAAGTTTCATCTATAGTTATGAATCGACGCAAAAAATCTGACTCGTTTCGCTTGAACCGCTCCAACAGGGCCTTGGAAATGTTCATTCGAATTCGGTTTTGGTCTAAAGTGATCAAGCGCGGCACCCAACGCGCGGATGACTTGCGCATATTCAATTTTTCAGTCAATATATGACAAACGCGTTCTTTCGATATGTCCATAGCCTGTGCTATCTCTCTAACCTTGATTCGACAGTCGTCCAGTACTATTTGATGAACATTTTCGATGTTATCAGCGATGGTCGCAGTTTTTGGCCGTCCCGAACGCTCAGCCAAGCTGGTATGACCACATTTAAATTCAGCTGCCCATCTTTTTACGGTGGCAAATGATAGGGCAGAGTCCCCGTAAACAGCGTCCAACTCGATTTTAATTTGCGCAGGCGTATTGTCTTTCAAATGTAAGAATTTAATCACGGTACGATATTCAATTTTTTCCATTTTTACAAATACACTGACATCGACTGATACAAACGACTGTCAAATAACAACTGAGCCTCCAGAATGACTGAAATTTTCACAAAAGTCTTTCAAAGCATATACTATTGTAGTATTAGAATGGTTTTGACGAATAACGTCATCTTCATGTTAAGGCTCAAAACTTTTCAGACTACCCTCGTATGTTGTGATGTAGCGTTTTGAGTTTGTCCGTCACAAGGTGCGGCTGTTCTGATTCAGAACATTACTGGGTCCTGCATCCACCCGTTTGAGGGAGGAGAGCGCAAGCGAACTCCGAGTCGCGCGAACCACATATATAATTACGCGAATTTTTTTGCTTTTATTTTTGTTATTATCGTTTTCGAGTCTGATTTTCGCGGTACTAGACTGAATTGGCGAGGTTGACGGCTACTGCAAGGTTCATGTGCGACCGCGTGCCTCCCAACAACCAACGGCGATCGAATGCGAAGAAGATGCTGCCACCGGCGAAAACTAATCAGGTCGTACCATTCTAATTAGTTGCCGACTTTTCTATATACCAAGTTCCCGTTACTTTAAGTAACACCATTACAGGGACAATGCTACTGATAACGAAGGGGCAAAGCAGTGATCGAAAAGGGAGACGCCACTCCTCGCGAGGTTGCGAGGAGACCCCCGAATTGAGAAAGCTAAAAAAGCGGAGGAGATACGTAATCGAGTCGGAAGAGATAGTCACCTCCTATCGGAAGAATCGGTTAAAAAAAATCCTCCAGGATCATAAACCTGCCGAGAGATCATATCCTTCAATCTCCTGCGGAGTCGAAGAAGACGCGAGCTATCTAGGACCCGCGCGAAACCGAAGATTTATTAGTTGATCGCGCCGCGGCGCTAATCGATACTAAGAGAGGGGATGATGACTGTGACCGTGTCGCGAGGATTCGCGAGGATCTTCACTTTCCGTTCGGTGGTGAAAAAATGTGGATGCAGGAGCCAGTTGCCGAGAGTGACGAAAATAAGGATCGAAGCAGAGGATCGAGAGAGGGTTGCCGTCTGATGAAGCGAATTTCATAGAATCTATTGTAAAGTCATCAATTTGCCCGCGGATCAGAAGAATCGCGCGTGGGCTAGCTCGCCAAAAGTTTCGTAAGAAAACGTTCCCCACGACCGCGAGGATTATTGCGTCATCACCGTTGTCCGGCGAGCCGGCCGCATGTCTTCCTCGCGATATAATTATCGAGTCTTCAGTCGCGTTTTTCTCT